TGAGGCAGGAGAATGGCGTAAACCCGGGAGGCGGAGCTTGCAGTGAGCTGAGATCCGGCCACTGCACTCCAGCCTGGGAGACAGAGCGAGACTCCCTCCCAAAAAAAAAAAAAAAAAAAAATAGTACATGCCAAAGTAATAATACACACAATACTGAAAACCTGAAAAACACAGAGTAACACAAAGAAAAGAAATTTTTTTTTTTTTTTGAGACAGAATGTCACTCTGTTACCCAAGCTGGAGTGCAGTGGCGCGATCTCAGCCCACTGCAACCTCTGCCTCCCGGACTCAAGTGATTCTCGTGCCTCGGCCTCCCAAGTAGCTGGGACTACAGGCATGCACCACCATACCTGGCTAATTTTTGTATTTTTAGTAGAGACAGAGTTTCACTATGTTGGCCAGGCTGGTCTTGAACTCCTGACTTTAAGTAATCCTCCTGCCTTAGCCTCCCAAAGTGCTGGGATTACAGGCGTGAGCCACCACACCCAGCTAAAGAAAATAAATTTTAAAATGACATGTAATGCTACCATCTAAAGATAAAAAAGCATGTAAACAATACTTTAGTGTATACATTTCCAATTTGTTTTTAAGTATGTTTATAAACAAACATATATATATATTTTAAACAAAACAGTTATACGCTAACAGTTTTATAATCTACTTATTTTATTTAGCACTATATCATGGACATTTTTCATCTCAATAAATATTCTTTATTTTTTATTTTTCATTTATTATTATTTTTTTTTTGAGACAGAGTTTGACTCTTGTTGCCCAGGCTGGAGTGCAATGGCACGATCTTGGCTCACTGCAACTTCCACCTCCTGGGTTCAAGTGATTCTTCTATCTCAGCCTCCCGGGTAGCTGGTATTACAGGTGCATGCCACCATGTCTGGCTAATTTTTGTATTTTTAGTAGAGACAGGGTTTCATCATATTGGTCAGTCTGGTCTCCTGGCCTAAAATGATCCACCTGCCTTGGCCTCCTAAAGTGCCAGGGTTATAGGCGTGAACCACCATGCCTGGCTTATTTTTTATTATTTATAGAGACAGAGTTTTCCTCTATCACACAGGATGGAGTGCAGTGTCACTGTCATAACTCACTGCAGCCTCAAACTCCTGGGTTCTAGCTATCCTCCTGCCTCAGCCTCCTGAATAGCTAGGATTACAGACTCACACCACCATACCCAGCTAATTTTATTTTTATTTTTTTGTAGAGATGGAAGTCTCACTATGTTGCCCAGGCTGGTCTCAACCTCCAGGCCTCAAGTGATCTTCCTACCTCAGACTCCCAAAATGTTAGGATTACAGGTGTAAGCCACCATGCCTGGGCTCAATAGATATTCTTACAATGTAACTTTTGATGGTTATATACTATTTCACTATTTCATTTAGGATTAAAATTGGTTGCATATGTCACAAAATCTAAATTAATGATTTGAGCGAAAGAGAAATCCAAGGGTAAGCCATTTAGGGCTAGTATGGCAGTTCTATTGTCATCAAGAGCTCATAATTCTATTTTTCTGCTCTACTATCCTAGTATGTGGTTTGTATCCTCATGGTTACAATAAACCTATAAACCAAGATGATAGCTAGGACCCCAGCAGTTCACATTCTAGGAAAGACGTTAAGGGCAAAATAAGGAGTGCCTCTCAATTTAGTAACTCCCTTTAAAGAGTATTCCTAGGTGTGCAGCCTTATAACTACCACTTACATCTCATTGGCTACACATAGCTGCAAGAGGGGCAGAGAAATATAGTCTTCTAGTCAGGTATGTTGCTGCCCAGATGAAATTGGAGTTCTGTTACTAAAAAAGAATAAGAGAACGCTGGGTGCAGTAGCTCACACCTATAATCCCAGCACTTTGGGAGACTGAGGCAGGAGGATCTCTTGAGGCCTAGATCAGTCCTAGCTACTCAGGCAGCTGAGGTGGACGGATCCTTTAAGCTTTGGAGTTCAAGGCTGCAGTGAGCTATGATCATGCCACTGCACTATAGCCTGAGCAACAGAGACCTCGTCTCTAAAAGTGAGAAAGAATAAGAGAATGGAGATTAGATAGGAAACTAGCAGTCTCTGCCAAATACATCAAATAGATGTACCATAATTGCCTATTTTTGGACACTTAAATTGTTCCCAGGTTTTCACTATTATGAAAAATACTGATAACATCCTTGTGCAGACATTTTTGTGTAATCTCTGATTATTTCCTTAGGATAAATTCCTGGAAGTGGAATTTCTGGGTCAAAGGGTATGGATATTTTTAAGGGTTTTGCTACATATTGCCAAATTGCCTTCTAGAAAGGTTCAAGCAATTTATACTCCCTCCGACAATGTTTGAGAGTGCCCTGGCCGGGCGCGGTGGCTCACGCCTGTAATCCCAGCACTTTGGGAGGCCGAGGCGGGCGGATCACAAGGTCAGGAGATCGAGACCATGGTGAAACCCCATCTCTACTAAAAATAGAAAAAATTAGCAGGGCACAGTGGCGGGCGCCTGTAGTCCCAGCTACTCGGGAGGCTGAGGCAGGAGAATGGCGTGAACCCGGGAGGCGGAGCTTGCAGTGAGCCGAGATTGCGCCACTGCACTCCAGCCTGGGCGACAGAGCGAGACTCCGTCTCAAAAAAAAAAAAAAGAGAGTGCCCTTTGCCCCACCCTACACCCTCACCAACACTGGATATTATCATTCTTTTTAATATTTGCCATTTTGATAGTAAAAAAATGGTGTCTTGTTTTAATTTGCATTTCTTTAATAGGAAGGTTTAATATTGTTTTCATCGGTTTAATATTCACCTGCATTTCTTTGCTGAATTATCATTTCATATCCGTCACCCATTCTTCTGGAGTGTTTGTCATTTTCTTATTGACTATCAAGGCTTTTTATATATTCACTGTATCAAGAGGATTGGAATTATTTTAAATGGAGTTTTCTGTGCCTGCTTATTGCTACAGTGGGTTTATGGTTATTTTAAAGCTGTTTTTCTGGAATATATGATCCAAAGATACTTTACTTGGCTTTCTATTTGATCTCAGTGTTTTGATTAGATAAATAATTTATGTATATTCAACCAAGGTAAAAGCATTATTGCTTTACTTAACTTGAATTATGTGCCTTGGACTAATTCAGTCTTTAAAGCCTAGATAATAAGACCATGAAAAAAGCCTATATATTGCTTTGAATGGGCTTTGTAAAACTGTTACTGATTTATTTATTGAATGCAAAATAAGTTCTCAAATTCCTGTATACACATCTGAAGAAGAAGATTCCATACTTTAATATTTAAATATTAAACTGATAGTTCTTTTAAAATTTTTGTTCCGTTTTTCAAGGCCATTTGGATATGGTTCGCTTTCTGCTTGAAGCTGGTGCAGATCAAGAGCACAAAACAGATGAGATGCACACTGCCTTGATGGAGGCCTGCATGGTAATTTTAAATTATAGTCACTTGAGATTTTATGGGAAGAAAAGGTCGTGTTTAAGCCTTTAAGAGTTATTAATTGGGCCGGGCGCGGTGGCTCAATCCTGTAATCCCAGCACTTTGGGAGGCCGAGATGGGCGGATCACAAGGTCAGGAGACCATCCTGGCTAACACGGTGAAACCCCGTCTCTACTAAAAATTACAAAAAACTAGCCGGGCGAGGTGGTGGGCGCCTGTAGTCCCAGCTACTCGGGAGGCTGAGGTAGGACAATGGCCTAAACCCGGGAGGCGGAGCTTGCAGTGAGCTGAGATCCGGCCACTGCACTCCAGCCTGGGTGACAGAGCGAGACTCCGTCTCAAAAAAAAAAAAAAAAGTTATTAATTGGTGTTGGGTTTATATAATTTCTTGATGCTAAATTAAACACACTTAATGCTTGAATGGCTCTGCTTTTGGAATGCTTTTGGAATATAACAGTCAAAGTATTTGACCTTAGGGATATTATTGATAAAACTAATTCTGGAGATAGTAGACATAGTTCTAGTGTTTTTACAGTTTCATATTAAAATCTTAAATAGCAAATTGACCTCAAAATATATTGACTCAAACTGTACATTTAACTGTGTTTTTTAAAGGATAATCGAGAATCATATTTTTAATACACAATTCTCTGTGTCACAGAGAATAATCACCTTTAATGCTGTCAATCCAGAAATCCTTTTTCTACTTCTGTAAGCACATACATATATCATGCATATATGCATATCTAAAAGAGAATGCAAATACAAAGAAACTCAAAGCATTCTGATAAGTATTTAAGACAGATTTAATGGCAAGAAAATTACCTGGAAGTACAAATGCGTTTTTCAGATGTGATTAAATAAGCTCATCATTACACATGTTAATTTCTATTTTGTTGACTATTGCTGTTTAACAAATCACTTAAAACACAATGGCTTAATGCAGCAGCCACATATTACCTCTATCTTTTTTTTTTTTTTTTTTTTGAGACAGAGTCTTGCTCTGTTGCCCAGGTTGGAGTGCAATGGTATAATCTTAGCTCACTGCAACCTGCCTCCCAGGTTCAAGTGATTCTCATGCCTCAGCTTCCCAAGCCTCCCACCTGTATCTTACACTATTTCATGTATCATATGATTCTATGGATTGATTGGATGGTTTTTCTTTTGGTCTCTCCCTCTCTCTCTCTTTTTTTTGAAGCCAGTCTCTCACTCTGTTGCCCAGGCTAGAGTGCAATGGCACCGTCATGGCTCATTACAGCCTGTACCTCCTGTACTCAAGCAGTCCTCTCGCCTCAGCTTCCCAAGTACCTGAGACTAGAGGGGCACGTCACCATGCCCAGCTAACTTTTACATTTTTTGTAGAGATAGCGTCTCACTAGGTTGCCTAGACTTTAAGAAAAAAGTTTTATTTATTTATTTTTTTTTTACAATTCCCCTCTTAATATATGTACACAATATATGTTAGCAGAATCTATCAAAAAAATATTCAAAAATTTGGCTGGATGTGGTGGCTCATGCCTGTATTCCTAGCACTTTGAGAGGGTGAGGCGGATGGATCACTTGAAGCCAGGACTTCAAGACCAGCCTGGCCAACATGGTGAAACCCCATCTCTACTAAAAATACAAAAATTAGCCAGGCGTGGTAGTG